GTTGGCGATTTACAAACTTATAATTAGAAATTATAAGCACAGGTTTCCTTACGATTATATCCTTCACCGTTTCTCAATAGTGTCGGAATAATCTTCTAAAATACATATAACTCGGAAAATGTCACATGGGTGCTTGCTGTTGGTAGGTTTCGAACCCGCACCCTCATGCGTGAGAAGCATATCATGGAATACACACTATGCTTTTTGAGTAAATACATATTATTAAGTTAAATATATATAATAATTATAATATCTTCATACCAGATGTGGGTAATACACATCTACACCTCGAGACAGTAACCACTTGACGCATTTTTTTCTTTCCCTGTATTTAAGCATCGACATAAAAAATGAGCAAAAAAACACACTTGACTGAAGTTATAACAAATTTAATTTGAATACAAATTTCGATATATAAATTTTATCTCATATTTTTTAGCAATACTCTTACAACTTGTTCTATTTATCAAATTAAAATATATTATTTAAAAAACAATCCATTTTTTATTTTTGAGATTCCTTGAGAGAAGACTGATAATATTTTTATTTAGGTACGTTTGTAACATTTAAAAACCATCCAAATATGATAATAGTATAACATGCGCGTGTGATTTTTTTCACTACCTGTTTTTCTATTGTATCGAGTTAATAAGTTTTTTCCTTAGATACTACTACTTATTACTACAACAAAGGAAATGCTATTTTAAGTACAATAAACTCAAATTCTAAGAATATAGAACAAACAAAGCGAGTTAGGGGTTTCAGTATTTTAAATTACAAATTGGACTATAGTAACAAATATTCAACGAATAATCTAAATCGTCATCCTTTTTGGTTTTTGCATTTAACCATTTCACTAAATGGCGCTTATTTATAATTATTATACTAAAACAACATATGTCGTCTCTAGAACTTACAGCGTTACGTTGACTTCGAGACGCTATAAATCGCTACGAGTCGATACGACTTGCTACGAAATTATCAATAATTATTTTAACACAAAAGTGATGCCGCATCTCATTAGTCAATGTAATCCATTTTTAAACTATGTGAACATAGAATTGAAGTTACTAGTAGATTACAACTTGGAAAAAGCTTTTTTAAAACGTAATCGGTACATTTCTTTGAAATCACCTATTGTTCTTGACAAAACGTGGTGTTTAACTCGTAGCAGAATGGGGCGGGCATCATATATAAAGCCAGCGGTGCACCAATTGACGCATTCTTGTGTTGATCTCTGGAAGGTGAAGACCATTTACGAGGGATACATAGAGCTTTAGTAATTGCAACAACAATAAAAAAAAATGGAAAATTCTTCCAATTCTTTTTCTATCCGAAATGGTGCCGATTCATGGCGACGACGACTACTACGCTGTGAGTGTGTAAGTATATTTATTTCATTAATTAGCTGTTTTCAATAGTGATTTCCAATTTTGTATAACACGTATTACAAAGTCACCTAGTGTGGTTTTTGATTTGATACTTTTATATTTCAGAGGATATTGATGAACATATAATTTTATTCATGTTGTTGAAATTTCGATAAAGTCCTCATAAATGTGTTATTTTCTGCTTACAGGGATGCCGACGCCGATTTTATTACCAGCAGCCAGAGTTCATAAACAACGACGATCTGCAACAAGTCCTAGACGCACTCGCGCTGTATAGAGGAAGACCCTCGCAGTATGACCCACCGCCGCCATACCCTGGCCCGGCGCCATCAAACGATGTTCCACCGCCGCCATCCCCTGGCCCGGCGACATCAAACGATGTTCCACCGCCCCCATATCCAGGCCTGGCGCCATCAAACGATGCTCCACCACCGCCATACTGGACAGTGACCGGACGACGGCTGCCATACTACGAGCCCCCGCCACCGTACTACGAGACGCCACCGGCACCACGTCTGGCACCAGCACCCGTGCGGTATGAGGCATCGCCCCCGTGTAAACTAGGGTCCACAGTGCGAAAAGATATTTTTTATATAAATGCTGTATTGCCTATAACAATGCCAATCAATTTTAATGTATATCTTCAAAGATGAAATAAATGATAAATAAATTAAAAACATACTTTTATTTACTTATTTCCTATGTACTGGAAATGTATTGTATTATACAACTTTTTCTTTTCTCTTTATTTCATTTAGGAACTTTTATACAATGTCAGTCCCATCGGACCTTCTAAGCTTATAAATGTCCTAATTTATCTACAAACATTTAATAAACTAGACACTAAAACGTAATAACACAAACTTAATTAGCTCGTTGAGTTCCGTCATTATAGACGCAATTAAAGAACAATAGGTTGCGGTCACCGGTGTCCTCGCGGTGTTTGACAGTTTAATTACTACGCATCCTCGGAGTTCGGCATTGACAAAATATGATAGGACATTCCTACATTTCACTCGTGACAATAAGTCTCGAGTTCCCTTAAGGCTCCAACACACAGTGCCGGCAGCAAGACCGCCGGGTAAGCCGCTGGCCAAGCCGCCGTGCACCCGGCGGCATGCAAAGGAGCCGCCGGCAAGTAAAACATTTTCATTTGACTAGCGTTCTATGTGATTGTCACAACCGGAATGATGCTTGACCGCTTTGTGCGGCTTGTGCCTTGTATTGCCGGCGGCATAGCCGCTCGGCATGAACCCGACGGCATTGCCGCCGGCATGTGTGTAGTAGCCTTTAAACTGTCAAACACCAAGCGGTCACCGGTGACCGCAACCTATTGTTCTATAATTGTGTCTATAATGACGGTACTTGGACGGTACTCAACGAGTTAAAGAAGACTACCCTTGCAGAATGGTATCTGACACATTCAGTCAATAATGCGTAATGATTGTTCTTTTAGCTTTTGGCAACTTTAGGCTTTGCTTTGAGCAGCAGAGCATAGTTGGTTGTAATTCACCGAGGGAAGTGGAAACCATCTGTTTTTACTTCTCCTCTTATAATATCTTCTGATTCACTTCGTTGCGGGAATAAAGATAAGTTATTCCTGTCCCTGGGACGCGCCGAACTTCAGTGTTCTGGTGTTTTCATGGTTGTATCTACTGTAGATCCTGGCTTACGGGAGTTGCAGCGGTTTTGGGAGGCTGCGGCGTGCTTGTCCCAAAAAAAGGTGGTTATGATATTATTTGATTAAGAAGTGTTTCTCTTCTTAATACGTTATCTTTCTACTTTATTTTCCATGGCAACGATGAAGACACTTTGTATCTGGAGCCACTAGCATCGACAATCCACTACAAGTCACGTACTTGCTCAGACGCCGAGGAGCACTCGCGTAATTCGAAGAAGCACCCGCTCCGCACCCGCATGCCGCCGCCGCGTTACCCTAAGATACTTGTCGCGGAGAACCTAACGGGTTACCGGGGCTCCGGCTCGACGTGCAGGAGACGGAACGGGGTAGTATTTAGTCAGTAAGAGTGTGACACTCCCTCCCGCCTCACCCAGGCGGGAGCACTCATTCGAAGATTTGTATGTGAAGGTTATCTTAAGTATCGAAATAACTAATAAACGACGAGTTATGCTCATTAACTAACGACTTAAACGAAAATAATTATTTAATGAGTAGGTGCATTGTTTTTTATAATTTTCAATATTAGATAATTATGTATGTGCAAATCATTAGTGGAATAGTTAACGTGGGTTCTAGTAAACAAAGTAATTTGAGTCAATATAAATATCGGAAGGTTGTCAAATATTTTATCATTCTTCGTTAGGTTACATACTGTGATAGTACTGCAAATACACAATGAACAATCATTCGGTGCCACCTTCCAGTCGCCACGAGTTTGTAAGTATATTTCTTTTTTATTTTATTTACACGTCATTTGACGCCTGTCACACTGACATTAACACGGTCATACTTGCAAAGGATATTAAAATTGCTATTGCTAAAATGACAGGCATTAGGTCTCCTGGCCATGACGGACTCAGTGTTGAACATGTGAGATATACTTGCCGGCACCTGCCTCGGGTGCTTGCCATGTTATTTAATTTGTGTATAAGTCATGCATACCTTCCTCATGAGTTGATGCGGACTTCGGTGGTACCCATACCTAAAAACAGGACAGGAGATATGGCAGACAAGACAAACTACAGGCCAATTTCCTTGGCGACCATTGTTGCCAAGATGCTTGACAGTGTGCTCAACTCACATTTCAGCAAACATATACAGCTACATGACGCCCAGTTCGGATTCCGGCCTGGGTTGTCAACAGAAACAGCCATTTTTAGTTTGAAACACACTGTTAAGTACTACACAGACAGGCGTACTCCTGTGTATGCTTGTTTTCTAGATCTTAGTAAAGCCTTCGATTTAGTTTCTTATGATGTTCTGTGGCAGAAGCGTCGCTTCTGAGGTATTGGTATCTCAATCAGAACAATAATGTGAAGTGGGCGGATGCACTTTCGGATGCGAGCGGGTTGGAGTGTGGGGTGAGGCAGGGGGGTTTGAGCTCACCCTTGCTCTTCAACCTGTACATAAATGCTCTGATTGAGAAGCTCAGTGGCATGCATGTCGGCTGTTATGTTGATGGTGTCTGCTGTAACAACTTCAGCTATGCAGACGACATGGTGCTGCTGGCCCCGTCGATTGGGGCTCTCCGAAAGTTACTTGCAGTTTGTGAGTCTTTCGTGGCCTCACACGGACTTGCTTATAATGTAAAAAAATCTGTCTACATGGTTTTTAAATCGGATCACAAGAATCCGCCTACTCAGTCGATTGTCTTGAACGATGTCTCCTTAAATAGAGTAACTCAATTTAAATATCTTGGGCATTGGTTACCGATGATTTAAAAGATGATGTTGACATGGAGAGGGAACGCAGAGCATTGTAGGTTCGGGCGAATATGTTGGCACGCAGATTCTCTCGTTATACAGACGCAGTTAAAATAACATTGTTCAAAGCGTATTGCACATCACTGTACACGGGAAGTCTGTGGGTTAACTACACCCAAAGAGCGTACAATGCTCTGCGCATCCTGTATAATAATGCGTTCAGGGCACTGTTGCGGCTTCCACGTTTCTGTAGTGCGTCAGTAATGTTTGCTGATGCTCATACCGACGGATTCGCTGCGTTATGGCGCAAAAAGACTGCATCGCTCGTCAGTCGCCTGCGTGGAAGTCGCCATAGTATTCTGACTGTCATAGCCGATAGACATGACTGCCCACTGATGTGGAAATTAGTGCAGCGGACTAAATCTCTGTTTACTATTACTTATTAATATTGTAAGTACCTAAATAGTTATATAGTTAGTTTATATAGTTAGTTATATGATTGTGTTCTTCCCTCACTATTAATTTGATGGATCTCAGTTATCTGAAATAAATAAATATTATTATCATTAATATTATTATTATTTGATAATAATTTTGGTTCCATGGTCACAGAATTTAGTTCAGCACTAGCCACTTTGCACTCAGATGACATTTTTATTTGTAAGTTTTAGTAATAATATCATAGTAGTAATAAATTGTTTATTTCTTTTTTTTTCTACATAAAAATTCGTGTGTGGAACGTTATGTTTATTTTATTTCCTGTTAACAGGTACTCAGCTGGTTGAAAAAACACCAGAAATATGTACTTTGAAGCTACGACAAGTACGGACAACCACAGCCCACAACCAGAACCAAAAGAAATCAAGTGCGACAACAAGCACACACCAACGGATTTTGAGTGCGCAAATATGACCATGTCTCGGAATTCCGTAACAAGCTCAAGTGGCTTCCTATCCGTCTTCGCCGGAATACGCATATCCTGTCACTTCTTTACAGTATTCTGTACAATCCTGCTACGCCCTCTTATCTCAAAGAACGTTTTAAGTTCCTTCATGACGCACATTCAAGACACTTGAGGTCTACTGCGAATTTGAGATTGGAGATGCCAACACATACGACTGCCTTTTATGACAAATCCTTTGTTGTAGGAGCCATTCGACTGTGGAACGCACTTCCATTATCAATAAGACGGGCGCAATCTTTGGATTCGTTTAAAAGACAAGTAAAAGATCATTATCTAACACAGATTCAATAGAGTAACTGCTACCGCATATCCGTATGTATGTATGTATGTATCTGATTTTGTGTATGTATGTGTATGTATATATATATGTATATATGAGTATGTAGGCATGTATGTATGTGTGTACATATTGTATGTATGTATCTAAACTGTTCTGTCATATCCATTGTATTTAATTCAACACTATGAACTACCCACATGGTATCTGCTCTCACGGTTATTTATCCATCCTAAGGTTGCCTGGAAGAGATTGCTGTAAGCGATAAGGCCGCCCATTGTACAACATGCCAAAACTATTTTTTTTTACCTACCTACTATTTTCTTGTTCGTGTCTTTTGTAAGTGGTGTACAATAAAGTGTTTATTATTATTATTATTTTAATATCTAAACTAGTCAACAAACAAAAGGTATTTTGTTTAACCGGTATTTCAAACCTTCCGTTCATCAATATCCTAAAAGTGCCTAATGCTGAGCAAAGCCTCTTCTCGCAAGCAGAAGGTTTGAGCAATAATCACCTCGCTTGCTTAATGCGAGTTGGTGATTTTACACTTATAATTAGGAATTATAAGCCCATGTTTCCTTACAATGTTTTCCTTCATCATGTGTCAGTGGTGTCTAAATAACCTCATAAAGTATATAGTTATAACTAAGAAAATAGAGGAATTTTTATATCTTATAATGTTATATTTTAAAAAATATATAATGATATAATATAATAAATGTAAAAACTGGAGTAAGGTACATACAATTTATTAATTAAATTTTAAGATTAATAAATAAAGGTTTTACTCAATTTCGACGACGAAAGGTTCGACGTGCAGGAGAAGGAACGGGGTGGTTTTTAGTCAAGTAAGAGTCTGACACTCCCTCCCGCCACACCTAGGCGGGAGCAGTCATTCGATGATTTTCCCCCCTTAAAAAAAAATAC